CTGGTCCTTTGGGGTCCACGCCTCCTGCTACCCAGCAGATCTTCACACAGTACCTTTCTGGGCTGCATATCCTTCCTTACTTTTGCCCGTTCCCGATCCCGCCCCTGAATCAGGCCGACTGCCCGCCTCAGCTCTGGGTCGCCACGCCTGTCAGGTACTGCAGGCTCTCATCTCTCAGCATGTACCTCCGCTCCCCATCCCTACTTTTCTTTCCCAGCCTCACAGCCCGGCAGCTTCTTCCTCCCCTCCCCTTCCTACCTAGCCCTGACAACCTCCAGGGTCTCCAGTCCCCGCCTGCTAAACCACCAGCTCCCAGACTCTCAGCTTCCAGACCCCCAACAGAATGCAGAACCCAGCCCCAGCCCCTAACCTCTTGCCCCTAGCCCCAAGCCTTGGGTACTCAGCTCTGACAGCACACTTAAGCTCTGTGAGGCCCCGAGCTGGAGACTAAAACTGACAAAACCTTGAGGGCGGAAGGCCAGGGGGAGCTGCTCATTGGAGTTCGGGTGCAGTTGCTCTCCGTTATTTTTAACTGCTGACTCACAGCTTCTGGCATCCGGGTTTGGGGCAACCAGAATGGGTTAGGGGGTTATTAATAGAGCTGAGGCACAGTCCCGACCCAGTTCAGTGTGGAAGCATATAGAGCAAGGAGCCTCCCCCCTGCCATCATGCCCTGTGGAGGTGTGGTCGATTGGGGCAGTAGCTGGACCCTCTCTGGCTGCCAGTATCTTAGCATGGTGTCTATACCTTGCAACTCTTGAGTCAAAGCCCACCATGAGACTCCTGGGCACAGCTCTCCACTAAATTTGCAGTGCTTTGGGGCTCCACCACAATGACGCTCCTGTTTTACTAACTGAGAGTGAAGAAACGAGTCCCAAGTGGAGAGGTTTTTGTGGCCCTAGCTTTGAACTGCCTAGACCAGTGATGGCGAACCTTTTGAGCTCGGCGTGTCAGCATTTTGAAAAACCCTAACTTAACTCTGGTGCCGTGTCACATATAGAACTTTTTGATATTTGCAACCATAGTAAAACAAAGACATATTTTTGATATTTATTTTATATATTTAAATGCCATTTAACAAAGAAAAATCAACCAAAAAAATGAGTTCGCGTGTCACCTCTGACACGCGTGTCATAGGTTCGCCATCACTGGCCTAGACCAACACCTGGGCCAGAATGCTAGGTTACTAGGAGAAAAAGCTCTGGTCTTCAAAAGCTCTCATGAGGACAGGATGTGCCGCATGGTGGTAGCAGAGAGGGAGGGCACATAGCCAGGAATTTGCTAGCCCCAAACCAGACACAGCACTGGGAAGCTGCCTAATTCTTTGTTTACCACCCTTCCATTCTTTTTATTTTTCCCCTCTTATTGGGCTCTGTACCTACTCACAGGGGTTAACAGACCTCAGAATCTCTCTCTACTCCATAGAGAAAACTAGTTCAGGAAAGCTCATGAGAAACTTGTCTCCACCAAGGTAAGAATGATCCTTTGTATACTGCCATTCCTATGAGGCCTTTTAATTTTAATGAGCTAAAGTAGGAGCTCCCTAATTTATACATGGGGAATGATGGGGAAATCTTGATATCTTCCTGGACTAATCACCCAAATTATTCACATCCATGCCCGAATTGCTAGAATTCCCATTGACCAAGGATGTGCACTCACAGCAGTGCCCCCTACTTGCAAACCAGAAACTTCTGCATTCAACGACCCCAGACTCTGGTTCCCAGGTGAAAGGGTGATTGTTTCTCCACATACAAAGACTGAGGTCACCCAATGAAGCTCTACTTTGAAGAATGAGCCCAGATTATCAAACAGCAGCGGGTTGTGCTGCCCCAACTCCATCAGTTTACTAAGGGTGACAGAGAGGTGAATGGGTTGAGAAATGGTCTCTCTCTTCTGAAATCCCTTCCCCAATCATCCATTGCCTTAGTCTGAGCAGCCTACCAATCATAGTGCCTGCCAGTGCTCTGCTCAGGGCTTCTTTGGACCAGTAGGGAACTCCTATCTTCCTGGTGCCTCAGGCTCTAGCAGTTGAGAGGGAGTTCCAATATCAAAGCATTTCAGGGTTGCCAACCCAGTCCAGTCTGAGTCTCAGAGAGCCTGTGGAGTGGGGAGAAGCTCACTATGAATCTCAAGGAAAAGATGAGAGAGAGAGAGAGAGAGAGAGAGAGAGAGAGAGAGAGAAAACCAGTCAATGGAGATGGGGTTTGGGAAGGATAGTTTGACCCTCTCCACTCACTCCAGGCTTAGCAATGCTTATTGCTCAATCAGAGCAATTCAGAGGGCCCAGGCTATATGTAGTCCCCCCGGCCCCAGCCACTTTGTCTATATTGACAAACTGCTGAGCATATAAAATACTTTAATCTACCGGGTTATCAGTCTAGCATGAAGGAAGATATTCACTCGTTTGTTCATTTAACAATAATAATTAACTCTAACCCACCGTATACCAGGTATTGTGTTGAGTGTTTTACATTTAGTCCTTACAAAAACCCTATGATTATTTCCATTTCATAGATAAAGAAACTGAAGCGCAGAGAAGTAAAATAACATCCAAGGTCGCCCTAGCAGGTGACCAAAGGGTCCCGAGTTCGATTCTGGTCAAGGGCATGTACCTTGGTTGCAGGCTCCTCCCCGGCTGTGGTCCTGGTCAGTCCTCATGCAGGAGGCAACCAATTGATGTGTTTCTCTCACATCGATGTTTCTCTCTATCTTTCCCTCTCTCTTCCACTCTCCCTAAAAAAATCAATGGAAAAATATCCTTGGATGAGGATTAATGAAAAATAAAAATAAAATAACATCTAAGTTCACACAACTAGTGACTAGGTTGGGTCTGACAGCAACCACTGTGTGCCAGGGTCTAAGAATGTAGAAAACAAGGCACTTCTCTCTTCAGGATCAAATAACAAATGTCATCTCCTTTGTAAAATGTTTCTTACATCCTCTCCTCACAAGTAGAGTTGATAACTTGCTTTCCTATACACTCCTCTGAGGTAGCACTTTTCACAGATATTATAAAAATTGGCTTTCATATTTCTATTTCTCTAACTTTGAGCACCTCAGCAGCAGGACCTGTTTACTATTCATCTTCACTTGGAAGTCTAATAGGCATCTCAAAATCAGCATATCAAAATCTGAACACCTGATCTTTTCCCCCAAAATGACCCCTCATAAGCTGTCATCATCTCAGTTGATGGCAATTTCATCTTCCAAGTTGCTCTGACCAAAAACCTTGGAGCCACACCTCATGTCCAATTCGTCAGCAAATCCTATTGACTCTCCCTTCAAAATACATCTGAAATCCAACCACTTCTCATCACCTCCAGTGCTGCCATAATGATCCAAATCACCATCACCTGTCATCTAGATCACTGCAGTAGTCTCCTGACTGGCCTTACTGTTTCCACCCTTGTCCACTGTGACCTATTATCCATACAGGAGCCAGAGATATCTTGGTAAACCCAAGTCATGTCATGTTAGTTCTCTGCACAAAACCCTTCAATGGTTCACCATCCCCTTAAGAGTATAGCCCAAATCCTTACAATGGCCTACAAGCCCTACACGATCTGGTCCCTACTAAATCTCTGATCTCAGCTCTTAGTACTTTCCTCCCTCACTCTGTTCCAGCTACTTGGACCTCCTTGCTGTTCCTTGAACAAGCCAGGTGCACTGCTTACCCAGGACCTTTGCATTGACTGTTCCCTGGCTAGGTTTACTTTTCTGCATGGCTCACTTCCTCG